TCGGCTTTGAATCCCTGCGGTTTGCTCGCGGTGTGACCTTGAGCCTCCTCCTCCCCCTCTGTACGGTGAGGGCGAGTGCCGGGCACTCTACACAGTTGCTGGGAGAATTGAGAGTGTGCACATCGCGCAGCAAAGACAGTCCTGAATGCTAATCGTCGGAACCAGAATACCTCCTCCCTGCCTAACCCAACGTTCGGCCTGGCCCACCGGTGAAAAGAAGCAATGCGTCCGGCAAAGTCACTACGAACTCAGGGTTTGGAGTCAGTAGGATCCGCATCCCAAGTCAACTACGTAACTCCACTATGTGCTCCTGGACTAGTTCCTGAACAACCCTGGGAGGCTCCGTTTTCTTATTTATAAAATGGGAGTTGTAAAACAGCCATGAGGATTGAGTGAAATGGCGAATGTGAAGTTAGCACGGGGTCTGGAACGTGTACGCATCCAGTTAACGTGGCTGCTGGTTTTATTACCATTATGATCATGATTACATTGCATAAGTGCCCGGGAAGTGGGAAAGGGCGGGAACCTCACACAAGTCCTCCCTCTGTAAGACCTGACATCTTACAAATGGGAAAGCTGGAGCATAGAAAGCAAGTCTGGCAAGACAGCACCCAAAACGTCTGGTTCCCAGCCAGTGCGTGGACGTTTGTATACTTTTGTCTGTGAGCTTTTAAAAGTAAAGGTACCTAGGCCGGGCACAGTTGGCTCAAGTCTGTAATCCCAGCCCTTTGGGAGGCTGAGGCTAGAGAACTGCCTGAACTCATGGGTTTGAGACCAGCCTGAGCAAAATGGCGGGACCTCGTCTCTACAATAAATAAAAATTAACTGGGCGTGGTGGCACATGCCTGTGGTTCCAACTACTTGGAAGGTCGAGGCGGAAGGATCACCTGAGCCCAATAGGTCAAGGCTGCGGTGGTGGTGAGCATGCCACTGCATTTCAACCTGGGCGACAAGAGTGAGATTTCGACTCAAAAAAAATGGTTTTTTAAAGAAAATTAGGCCGGGTGCGGTGACTGAAGCCTGTAATCCCAGCAATTTGGAAAGCTGAGGCAAGAGGATTGTCTGAGCCCGCGAGTTGGTGACCAGCCTGGGCAACTTGTGAGACCTCGTCTCTACAATAAATGAAAAAATTAGCCGGTCGTGGTAGTGTGCACCTGTAGTTCCCACTACTTGGAAGGCTGAGGCACTGGCCCACCCGTGAAAAGAAGCAATGCATCTGGCAAAGTGACTAAGAACTCAGGGTTTGGAGTCAGTAGGATCCAAATCCCAAATCAACTACGTAACTCACTATGTGATCCTGGACTAGTTACTAAACAACTCTGGGAGGCTCAGTTTTCTTATTTATAAAATGGGAGTTGTAAATCAGCCATGAGGATTGAGAGAAATGGCGAATGAAACTATGGCTCATCAGAATGCAAATGTGGCAGCCAGCCTCCACAATTGTCCCTATTGATCTTCAGTTGCTGAGATTCATGTCCTAGTATCATCTCTTCCCACACTAAATCAGAGTTGTCTGTGTGCAAACACTGGGGCCAAGCTGCGCTCAGTGGCTCAGCCTGTAATCCCATGCCTTGGGAGGCCGAGATGAGTGAATTGCCTGAGCCCGCGGGTTCGAGACCCGCCTTGGCAACTTGGCGAGACCTCATCTCTACAATAAATCCAAAAAATTAGCTGGGCATGGTAACGCGCGCCTGTAGTTCCAGCTACTTGGAAGGCTGAGGCGGAAGGATCGCCGGAGCCCAGCAGATTGAGGCTGCAGTCTGGGTGCTTGAGGCTGCAGTCTGGGTGACAGAGTGAGACTCCAACTCAAAAAAATAAAAATAGAAAACACTAGGGCTTCTACCTTGGACTCTTGTATTGGCCAGTGGGGCCTCAGAAGGGGAAGCCATATCACACAGTCTTGTGGAACATTACACAGTCCTATGGAAGGGACCACAGGACTTGGAGTGGGTCCTCCAGCCTTAGAAATCTCTTCAGGTGGCTGCAGCTCCAACTGACACCTTAGAAGAGATCTCACACTAGAACAGCCTATTTATGCCACTTCCCAATTCTCAGTCCACAGAAACTATGAAAGATGACAAATGTTAGAATTGTTCTACACCTCTAAATGTCAGGATACTTCACTATACAACAATAATTAACTAATGCAACACATAAGAAATTTAGCCAGGCGCAGTGGCTCAGTCTGTAATCCCAACACTTTGGGAGGCCAAGGCAGGAGGATTGCCTGAACCCAGGGGTTCAAAACCAGCCCGGGCAACTTAGTGAGACCTCATCTCCACAATAAATCAAAAAATTAGCCAGCCATGACAGTGCGTGCCTATACTTGGAGGACTGAGGCAGAAGGATCACCTGAGCTCAGCAGGTCACGCCTGCGGTGACTGTGAGTGTGCCACTGCACTCCAACCTGGGCAACAGAGTGAGACTCTGACTCAAATAAATAAACAAATACATGCCCGTAACAGTAACAGCTAGTATTTAGTATGCACTTTCATGTGTCTGGCACTCTTCTAAGCACTTTACAAAAATACCTAATTTAATCCCCCCACTTAACAGAATAAAAAACTGAAATATAAAGTGTTGAAATAACTTGCACAAAATCACACAACTTAAACAGGCAGGTGACTAACCCATGATTCAAACCCAGGGTGGCTTCAGAGTCCTACTTTCTTGTCCTCAAGAAGGTTGCGAAATACCAGGAGCGATAAGACCTTCATGCAAGGTAGAAGGCAAGATGTAAATCAGGTGTTCAGAGGCCTGCTAGATCTCTTCCAGGAAGAGATGAAAGTTTCTTTTTAGAAGGGGCCTTACTTAAAGATTGGAAAAGATTTGCACTGACAGAGAAGAGCCCTCGAGGCAGAGGGAAAGTTATTGCCAAGGCAAACAGTCCTGAAGGCCTCCTAAGTGCTGGGAAGAAGAGGTTACACATTCTCTTTTCCCCTACAGGGCTCATGGTCTAATGGAGATGAACCTTAAATAAATATGACCATGCAGGAGACCGGCAAGGTAGAAGCCCATTGCTCTGGGTGTGTACAAGAGGGAAAGGGTCTAAGCTTGGAGAAGACACAGAGTAGGTGGTGGAAGATAGAGACAGAAAGAGTTGGGAGAGAGAAAACACCCAGGACTATGTTAGAGAAAATGTGGGAGGATCTTTTTTTAACCCCAGGGAAAATTACTGGAGTTTGGCTGTCCTTCTGAGATGAATCTGTAAGAGGGGACAAGAGAGGAGATTGAAGAAATATCTAGAAAAACCAATATCCAGTCTACTCAGGTTAGGGAACAGGGAACAGGCTGGGTTAATATATCACTATATAAAAGGTTCTTGTGGCCTTTTATTCATGCCTTGAAGTTCTTATTTGTATAGTATAATGGTTTCCAGATGAAACTGAGGTAGGAAGATAGACAAACTGAGTACAATTTTCTAAACAAGTATGAGGGTAGTTTGGGTTTTCTTTTTGTTTTTGTTTTGAGTTGGAGTCTCACTGTTGCCTTGGCTAGAGTGCGGTGGCACGCTCACAGCCACTGCAGCCTCAACTTGCTGGGCTCATGCAATCCCTCCACCTCAGCCTCCTCAGTAGCTGGGACTACAGGCGTGTTCCACCATGCCCAGCTATTTTTTTTTTAAATCTATTGTAGATAAGAGGTTTTGCCAAGTTGCCCAGGTTGGCCTCAAGTCCCTGGCCTCAGGCAACCCTCTTGCCTCTGCCTCCCAAAGTTCTGGGATTATGCATAAGCCACCACGCCCACCAGAGTTTACTTCTTTCCCAGAGACTTCCCTCTTTTTTAGTGGAAATAAGGGTAACAAAGGGTTTGCACAGAAAGACCCTGGGTGGTTTCCTCCAGCTCCAAAATGGGCATGATGGCTGCCTGTGGTCATGTTGGGTTTAAAGGCAATGTCAGAGGAGGGCACATCCAGAGTGGGGCTGCCTAGTTGGGTGTTTGATTAAGTCTGACTGCAGTAATGGAAGTTGGCTTCAAGTTGTGTGAACGAAATTGCAAATGTATGAGGAGAGTCGGGTATTCCAGAGATCCAGAACTCTCGCTGAACCCAACAGCCATCATCTTCGGTTCTGCACTTCTCTCTCCATCTCTCTCTCCTCTATTCTCCTTTCTTATTTTCCTTCTCCTTCTTCTTCTGTCTCTCTTTCTTTCTCTGGATGGTACAGCCTCCTACACACTTAGGCTACATGGAATCGCCTAGTGCTCCTAAGCTACAAGCCTGTACAGCATGTTATTGTCCTGAATACTGTAGATAATTATAACATAATGGTAAGTATTTGTGTATTCAAACATATCTAAACCTAGAAAGGGCACGGTAAAAATAAAGTATTGTAATCTTATGGGGATATTGCCACATATGCATTCTGTTGTCAACTGAAATATTGTTATGCAGTACGTGACTATTACACACACATATAGTCATACATATATACATACTATATTCAATAAGAATATAATAAAATTGAATGCTGTACTGGTTAAGAGAAAAAAGGTCTAAACTCAGACAGATCTGGTTTAATTCCTAGCTTATCATTTCCTAACTACATGAACACAGGTTAATCATTAATACAAAAATGCCTTAGCTTCCTTATTTGTAAATTGGAATTAATAGTGATACCTCACTAATTAGTTTACTGTGAGAATTAAGTCAGTGATCTGACTCAAGTATTATTGGGTGTTCTTACTTAGGT